AAACAGGTCCTATGGCCAGGCAAGGCTTTGCTAAAAGGAATTCTGTAGAGGAAACTAGAAAGTTGCTGCTTCTCCAATAAAAACCAGATTGCATTAATTGAAAGCAGAGAGAACCAATATGCAGGAAACTAACAGTGCCTGTCACCATCCATCTTTTCATACACCCTCATAGCTAGCTGTCAGCACAAAACCTGATCTAAAATTCATGGATTTTTTTGTTAGGGTACAAGAAATTACTGACTAGTGCTAATTCCAATTCAAAGCTTCCAGTTCTTTTCTATGTTACTCTATGAGGTTGCAACTCAGAAGGGAAAAAAAAAAGTGTGCAGGTTTGACACTGTAAGTTTTTAAGATTAACAGCCTGCCTCAGACATGTATGAGGCCACAGTAATTATAATGCTTTATGTATAGAACTAGAGGCCCATTGCAGGAAGATTCCTGCAAGAATGGGGCTTCCTGCAGCCAGAGCGAAGCAGAGAAGGGAGTGAAACCCGCCGAGGCGGGCTTCGCTCCCGCCTCCACCACCCCGCTTGCTTCCCTCTCGCCTCCGCCTCCCCGCCTGCTTCCCTCCCGCCTCCGCCACCCTGCTTGCTTCTCCACAGCTTTGCTCCCTTCTGCAGCGCTTGGCTTCCTTCTACATTGTCTTCAGTCTTTGCTCTGCACCTGTGTATACAAATTAACCGCCATCTTTGTTGGGTTAATTTGCATACTCATCTGATTGGCTGGTGGGCATAGCGGAGTGACACCAATTTGCATGTTTCTCTTTTATTAGTGTAGATTCCCCATATCCTCCAAAGTGTGAATGGGATGGGTTTGAAAAATGAAGTTATTGTACTTCCAAAGCTTGGCAAACTAATCTAAAATATATAGCACCTTACAAGCAACCATGCAAAGCTGGTATCAGGTTGCCTAAGAGAAGATCAGTGTGAACAAGAAGTTCCAACCAAATATCTTCCTTAAAGTGTTTAAAGAGTGATGGAAAACAGAGAACACTGAGGACTTTCCAAAGAACTGAGTGTCTCGTCCACAGGCACTGGGGTGCAGAGGGACATCTGGCTTATGAAGAAGGGACTCTGCAGCATGTTGCTTGGCCCCAGGAGGAGAAAGTGACACTCCAGTATAGGCTTAGGTGGATCCCCCAAAAGTCAGATGTTGAAGTCCTACCCCCATATCTCAGAATGTGACCTTATTTGGAAGTAGGGTCACTGCAGATACAATTAGTTGAACTGAGGCCATACTGGAGTAGGGTGAGGCCATAGTCGACTAGGACTGGTATCCCCATAAAAAGGGGAAATTTGGACATAGGCACAGGAAGAGTGGCATGTGAAGATGAAGGTAGAGATCAGGGTGATGCTTATACAAGCCATGAAACTCCACAGAGTGATAGCAAACCACCGAAAGCTAGGATGGAGGATCGAACTGTCTGTCACAGTTCTCAGAAACCAATACCTTGATCTTAAGGTTCTAGCCCCTCAAACCATGGGAGAAAATATATATCTGTTGTTTAAGCCACCAAGCTTGTGGTACTTTATTACCACAGCCCTAGCAAATGAATAGATTCCCTAAAGAAAGGTGGTGCTGGTTGGCTTTGGCTTTTTTCACCTAGAGAACAGATCTAAAGACAGACCTAAGCAAACAGTGGTTTTCCACGGTATCTTCATCATGCACTTTACCTACTCTGATGGTTTAGCAGTGCTACTAAGTTAGTCTACAAAAGAAATATGAGAATCTGAAAAGACTCTCTAGTTTGTGTTTAGTAAATTCCATACGGAAATTGTTTTGGAGGATAGTGGGGGAGGCCATGGTTGCAATCAGATATTAAAGTTTGATTTCCTACTATGCTGATTAATTGACTGAAGGACTTTGGCAAGTCACCTAATCTCTCTAAAATTCAGTTTTCCTTATCTTTAATTTGGGAATAATATCTGGCCCAAAGAAATGTTCAGAAGATTAGATACAGCAACTTACATGCTTAGTTCTATGGCTGGCACTTAGTGACAGTTTAGGAATTATGATAATGTGAATTCTTCTGAATTATATCTAGAGGTGGTGTTTCAATAGAAGAAAATATGATTTCTGAGGTGTAGTCAATTCTCAATAATCTATGGTAACAAGAAAAGATTTTTGTAGTACGTAATATCATTAATAATCTAAAAACTGCATTTTCCAAAATCAAAATCTTTATTGTTTTTATTATAAAACTTACATATGCTCACTATAAAATTTTAATTCTATAAATATGAGTACGGTGGAATTTTAATTTTATACTTCCAAACTCTAATATTCAGTAATTATTTTTCATATTCCTTTAGGTATGTCTGTATGTATGTTTAATAAACATGTTGTTTTAAACAAAATGAATCATATTATATATGCTGTTCTACAGATTAAATCAGCTCTGTTCAGTAATATATCTTAAACCTTTCCTACCATTACATATTATAAATAATTTCTCATTGTTTTAAAGTATTTATAATATAATGTCCCAATGATATACAAAAAAAAAGCCAAAAAAACACAACTATTTACCTAGGCTGTTTAAACATTTAGATTGTTTGCAATTTGTAAGAATCACAACAGTAAACCACAATAAGTTAAAACTACACTTTGGCGAATAGTACCTATTTTCTCCAATCTTTTGAGAATAAATTAAGGCATTGTTGGAAGGGAGGAAAGAAAAGTAGGAAAGAATAAGTTAAAAGTTTGTTAATTTATCTAATAATTTGGTGTGTATAATGTCAAATAATATATTTGAAAAACCTTATGTATAATTTTGTCTATAATTTTTCTGGGTGAGAATTTACTGAATTTGGTGGCATTTTTGGAGTTTGCATAACCTCAGATAAAAGCTACACAATCCAATAAAATTGGTATTCATTAAAAATATGATGAATCTAATCAAATGAATTTAGTCCCAGGTTTCAAATTCTATACAAAAAATTTACCAAATCAAAGCATAAAGTTATAGTTATTAAAACATTGTGGTGATTGTGTCAGGAATAGACACATAAATTGGAACAGAATATAAAAGTCTCAAAATGAACATATGTAAGAATTTATTAAGTGATAACGGTGACACTTCAACTTGGAGGTAAAATTATGTGCTACTCAAAATGCAGTTGGAAAAATTAGATATCTACCTGGAGAGAATAAGCGACATATTTTAATTTATACTCAAATGAAAGACTCAAATGTATAAAAAAACTTTAAAATTATTAGAAGGAAATAGATGCTAGTAAGAAAAATTATGATTAAATTAAGAACATAAAGCACTAGAAAAAAACTATAGGATATACATATATTTCCCATACATAAGAGAAAGTCTTTCTAAGCAACACACAAAACTCAAAGGACATAAATACAACAATTGGTAGAATTTACTACCTAAGTCATTCAACTTAGATACCTTGAAAGATATCATTAAGATCTTCAGAAGACAAGGAACAGTGGGAGAAAAATGTTTATTTAAAAAGTCAATACTTGATATTAAAAGTTCTTACAAATTTTTAAGAATAGAGTAATAAACCACTAGAAAAATGCACAAAAGATTTGGACAGTTCAAAAATACAAGAAGCAAATCACCACTGAACATGAAAAGATACTCAACCTGTAGTAATTGAAGAATTTGGAATAATTAAAACAACACTAAGATACCCATCAGATTTACACAAATTCTGCCATTGGTAAAAGTGCAAGTGCAGGAAAATGAACACTTTCATACACTCTATGTAGAAGAGCAAACAGAGCCTTATTGCAGTGTAATTTCAAAATGTGCATCAAATTCAAGTGCATTTATACTTTGGCCTAGCAGTCATACCTTGCAGTTTCTCTCCCACAGACTACTCACTTCTGCTTAAAAATACGTTCGCAAGGGTGTTACAGCATTATTTTCGTTGTTACCTGTATGACACATGCCAACTACCAAAACACATAAAATGGGTGACAAGATAACTAGAGGGCTCAGGAGGGCAAAAATACCCAGGAGAAACCTTGCTTGAGTGGATGCTCTACTATTCAGTTACTACTAAAAAGACTGGAGGAGATGTATGAGAAGGGACAAGACTTTTCCAGACACTCCCTCATTTCCAAGAAAGATCCAAATTCTGTATACTGAACATTCATAGTCATGCTTCTATTTTGTACCTTAATCTGTGCTTCTTTTCCATTTAAAATCAAGACAATACTTCAGAAAACTTAAAAGAAAAAGCTATCACATCAATGCTTTCTAGTACTGATGTCAAAAGCCAAAACGAATACTGACTATACACTGAAAACTACATACTGAATACTGACTACACATCTTCAACTGAAAACACACTCTTTTGGAGCAGAATACAAAGTCACATATTCGCTAAAGCTTGAGGGTAGAGCTATCATCAAGGAAACAATGTCCTTTTGGCCATGGACAGAATTATATCCTCACCAATAGATGACTATAATAATCTTTTCTCTGCTGTTTGTTAAAGGTCCATGAGTTGTAACTTCTACAGTCATGTTTATCTACCTAATTATATAGTGCAACCTGTGTTTGGAAAGTTAGCTTTGTTTTATTATAGTTTCCCACAGACAAAACAAAAATCTTGGTTGAAACTTATCCATTGAACAAAAAAACGACTACTATTTTCCTATTCAATTGATACCGATGTTGGATTTAAACACTGAAATGATGATAGCGATGCCTGTCCGGCTGAGCAGAGATTAAGAGATTTTAGGCTTAGAAATATCACCATATCCCCTCTTCCAAACGAATTCATCAGTAGGATATGAAAGTCAGTTTCTTAGGTCAATGGGGAGACACCATTCTCAGGCCTTCTAATCACACACCTGCTCCCAACCACTACTCACTCATTTGACTTATCCTTTCTCCCCAAACCAAAGGAACACTATTACCCTAGGATGGCACAGTAGCTTCCCTTTCTCACAGTTAGCACTCCCACAGAGCTTCTGGATCCCAGCACGGTACACTCCTAGAGTTGCTTGCAAAGAGGATCTCCACTTACCTGTGTGAGGACGACTGGATATCCAGGAGCGTAGTGATTAAGGACTGTCATGTCAAGTTGGACTACTGAAGGGAATCCCAACTCTGCCATTTAATTGGGGTGTCCTGGAGCACAGACTTAACCTCCCTCAGCATCAGTGTCTTTACCTGTAAAATGGGAATAATAAAAGTACTTATGTAACTGGAAAATCAATGGGTCTGTGCTGCCTGTCACTACCTAAGCCAAGTAAGCAGAGACAGGGGTGAATCATATATGAGTTTATTCTAATACTGCCCGCAGCATGGGAGAGCAGCAGCAGGTCATCCACAAAAATCTGCTCTACCTCTCCCGATAACCCAGCTGCTTATATTGGGTAGAAGGACAAAGATTATATGGGGAAGTAGGCAAAAGGTTATGCCAAATGGGCAGTTAACAGGTAATGCAGGCTGGAGATTTGCAAAGGCCTGGGGGTATGCAAAAGGCTGGGGGTTTTCAAAGGGCTGGCAGTTCTGGTTTCTGCAACAAAGTTGTTAATCTTTCCTTGATAATAGGCAGCTCCCTGATGGGGAGGATGGGCTGCTCCCAGATCCCATGTCCAACTCTCAGCCAGGTTAGAATGTGCTTTCTTTAATCAGAACAAAACAATCACGGTTAACAGAGTATGATTAACATTTCTTATAATTATAGATGGTCTCCAATACTCTATTTCTGCCCCTATCATTTACAGGGTCAGCAAGATTATCAAATTGACTGGTGGTACCCAGTACATAAAAGTACCAAAAAATATCAGTTTTTCATTCCTAGCATTCTCATTATCTACCTGCATACCCCCTGCCTTGGCCAGGCTTACTCAGTAGAACCGTTACACAAATCCCTCAAGGCCAAGGTACTGCTTACAGGTTTCCTTAGGCCACGGTCAAGTACCACACTGAAGGCAACTCTACCAACAGAGAGATGAGCTGGACAAGTTCCACCCAGAGACCCTGCCATGCTTGTACTCCGCTCCCTCCCCCACCCCCCCGCTTCGATTTCATTTTCTTGGGATTCAGATAAAAAAGATGAAAGTTCCATGGCTCTATGCCACCGTGTGTACACCTTCCTTCTAAAACCAGGCCCTCTGCAGTCTTCATTGTGCAGATATGTTTCCCTTGGTAGACTGTGACCTTGACGGAGGAAACAAAGTTTTCTTCTTTGTATTTCTTTGAGTGACTTGTCTTGTACTGTGTCTGGGGAAGAGTTAAGGCTAACTAAAGAATGAATGAATAGTAGTAATATTTATAAGCAAAACAATGGGACCAGCCTAAGGTAAAAGGGAATTTGCCTTGTTATTTCCCAACTCCCTTTGTTTCCAACTGTGAGAGATGTTCCTCCCCTTGGTTGTCATGATTTTCAGAATGCCTCAGCGTGTCTTCATCCAGGCTCTGGACTCCTTCCCCCCATCTCTCTGTATCAGAAACGCCTCTCTGCCCCCCTCCTCTCTCTCTTTCTCTCTCCTCCCCCGCCATGTGGCAATCTGGTGTGAATGCATTAATCAACCAGGTAAGCAGCCCTAAACAAAGTACTAATCAAAGTACTAATAAATCAAGGTAACAGAAAATCAAAAAATGTCATCCAAGGAAAGCCTGTCTGCAAAGAACCTAATATGCGTCATTATAATGGGACAATGCCTAGTTCCGTATCAGACAGGTGAGAGGAAGACACCTATTCGATCATCCTTTCCCCCTGGTATCCCCTGAAGTGGCTCTGAGAAATGCTGTTGTGTATGGAGGATCTGAATAAGTCTAGGCAGCTGCTGCTATACCAACTCTATCTTCTCTCTTTGTTATTTCCAGAGTCACCCTTGAAAGAATCTAAGTTCATGCAGAAGGCACTGTTTGAAGAACGGTTTCAGAGAAACTAGAGATAGCAGAAGGGTTATCTAGTTCCTCCTCAGAGGCCAGCAGCAGCATTGTTCCAAATACAATCAAGGGTTTGATTTCTTTGGATGACCACATGTAACCCCTGGAGACAGCCAGTGAGTAAACATGACCAAAGGCCGGTACTTTCCCTCTCGGTTGAAACTTCCAACTAAAAGAATCACAGCAGTTCTGTGAGAAAGTAAGGGGAAAACCCACCAATAACTGGTCAAGAAACGTTCAAGTATAACTGAAGAAATAACTGGGAGGAGAGGCAGAAAGCCTAACAAATCACTTGCTTTTCTGATGGCATCTCCGATGGATAGTACATCCTATCACCTAAGAGTTGCCTGGATTGGAGCATGGATTACACTATAATGATTACTCTATTTGATGAGAGTACATACTCTCTGAGGACAAATCTCCCATGGCATAGCAGTAACAGTGGATTCCGGTGAGTCACAGTGCCTGGGTTTGAGCACAGTGTCTGCTACTTCTATGTCTATAAAGTCTGTCTAGTTATTCCCTCTCTCCGGTCTTCATTTTCATTTTTTTCAAAATATACTATCTACCTCATAAGATTATTGTTGGTGTTGTATGTACTAAATCCATGTAAAACTCCAAGTCCAGGCTCAGGTATATATTATCACTCAATCTCTACCAACTGTGACCATTTCTGTTCTCCAACTACAGAGCCCAGTGCCCAAAAAATTCTCAAGTTCAATATGATTTAAAAAAATAAATCCCAAGAGTTGCCCCATGGAGCTGCTATTTTGGTGAATAAATTAGTCTAGACAATTATATCATTATATCATATCTCTGCTTACCTTATTAAACAATTATATATTTTATTCATTCAGTGACATTGTATTAAATATTGTGGCAACTGTATAGGGAAAATAGGAACTTAGAATATGTCAAGGGAGTAACTTGCTTTCTCAACAAACATATTTAAAACAGATACAGTTTTCCAAACACTGTGAAAAAACTAAGAAATGAGAAAAAGATATAATTTTACTTTAATAACATCTTACATTTATTATTCAACATAAAATAGGCAGTGTGTTAGGCTCCTTACCTATATTTGCTTATTAGTATGCTGACAAAAACCAGATTATTATTGTGTTCATTTTGAAGAGAGGAAAACAAGAGACTAAAAAAGACTCAGTAACTTGCTTGACATTTTTCAGCTAGAATTTTCCCTCACTTAAACCTCCTCGGTATTTCCAAAGCCTGTTCTTTTTCTACTCTTTTACTATTCCTCTTTCAACATCTCACCATAATGTCAGGCAGAATGAAATAAGTAAATGATTGTGGAGCCCAGGGAAGTAATAATGAATTTGGGTGGTGGGGGTAAAGAAATACTTTATTCAGGGCATTTAAAGTGAACCAGGTAAGTGAGATTACAGAGGAGAAAGAAGAAGAGAAAGAGGAAGAGGACTCCAGGAAGTAAAACTATACCAGCAAAGGCCCAGCAATGTCAAACTCCAGGGAGAGTAGATGTGTGCTGGGACATAGAAAATAGGCTGAAAGTAGGGACACATTAGATATAGATAGAGGTGGAATTTTCAGTGTTGGAAAACACTTTTCTTAAGAGTACAGAGAAAGTATTCCTGTATTTTCAAAGCTTGTTGCATAACTGAAGCAAAGATGAACTTGAGCCCTGCCTTAATTTTGGAGAACCATTACAATTCCTATTTAGCAGGTCTGATTTAAAGATGTTTGTACATATCACACACACACGTACACACACTCACACTGATATTTAAATAATCAGACATTGGTCATTCACTCTCCATTCATATTATGCCATTAGGCAAATTACCCAGAGATTATTCTCAATTCTACAAATTATCAATGAGCAAATATATATGGGAAGTCAATCTGTTGTAAGACCTGAAAGAGAGAGAGTTGGGGAGAGAGAGAGTTTGCTTTATTGGTGGCCCAGAGCAGCTGTTTTAAGCAGCAGATAGGGCTTAGGAAATGATGGGCCTGTGCATTGATATGCAGCATGGGGCAGGGGGAGTATGGAGAACTGTGGTCCTTCAAGATGATCTATTTCCCTCAGTTTTACAGACGAAAGGTTTAGGAAGCTCTGGATCTACACAGGGATTTAACACTCCGGTTCTTCACCATTTAGTGGTTCTGAGAGTGGCTCCTGCCTCTAGAACACGCCCGTTTGCCTCTAAAAGGAAGGCTTTTTTTGGCTACAGAGAAAGGAAGGTGGGAAGATAAAACAAACTTTAATTCATCTGTTCTTACTCATAGGCTTCCCATCAAGGACAGGTTTTATCCTTATTTAGAATCAATACTAAGTAAAGAAAGTATAAATATACCAATTGAAACACACTTTCTGTGGATGCCTTGGCAGCCACAGTTAAATTTGCTTGAGGTTCAGAGACACCATGCTCTTTCCCTAGATCTTATTCTGAAACCCTCAAGTGTTAAACTCAATCATTTCCTGAGATCCTTGATATAATAGGATATAATAGCATCTAGGATCTGCTAATAGGTGGTATTGTTTGTGGGGTTTTTTGGGGGGGTGGGGGGAAGAGTGGAGTTATAGTTCTGGGACAGAGTTAGGTAAATCCCTAAAAGACCACTGGAGTTTTTAAACCCTGACTGCTTATGTTGAATGTTTCCCCCAAGAGGTAAGAGCAGCTATATTTAAGTTGAGCATTATATTTCTGCAAAGAGTAAGAGGATCTAGGTGAAAAGGGGGAACTTCCCCTGGGGATTTCCCATAGGTTAGCCTCTTGTGAAGGGAATCAACCCTCAGGGTGCTCCTGGGATCTCTGTATGCCACCAGAGGAAGTGTCACAGACTCTGAACCAGGTGATTTTAATTCTCTACTGTCCCTCACACTAACTAGTTCTATGACTCAAAGGAAAGTCAAACTTCAAAGAGAGTTGAGAATCTTCCTCTGTAAATTAGGAGACCTGAACTGAAGTGTTTCCTAGGACCTTTCTAGCACTAATCTACTCCATTTCTTTGGGTTGTCCTGGGAAAACACAAGATGAGCCACAAGGTAAAGGCTCAGTGTTGAGTATTTTGAGAAAATAAAAGGGGTATACATGTTGGAAATCCAAAGTGTTAATGTCTGGATTTGTTCCTAGTTTAGGAAACCAGAAATCCTTTGGCCAATTCATTCTCTGGGTCAGTGAGTATCAAAAAGGCTCACTCCATTGAGAACAGTAGGAGTGGACTTATTTTCATAGAAGGTGGAACTAAAACAGCCTTGGGTGATGAGCCCAGGTCTTGGGCTACTCTCT